TAGATTTAGGGCCCAACTCTAGGGCCCAACTCCCCTCTTCTAGGAGGTCTTCTTTGGGTTAGGCCAGAACCAAATGTGTGGCATCAGGTTTATCGCCCTGGACTTCTGTTACTACCTCTCTCTTTCTGTCTCCCTGCACCCCCGGTGCTCAGCAGGAGCAAGACACATATTAGTGCACATGAGCCAATTGAGTGTGTTGGGGAGGAAGAAACTTATTTCTGTCTTTCTAGGTTCTTCTAGCTTGTCTAATTATTAAAACACTATAAGACAGATTAATAAGAGAAAATGACCGAATTTAACTCTATATGTATGCACAGAACCCCACATCCATGAGAGGGTAAGAGATTCTACATACATGAGAGGTTCAGAAACAAGAAGTTAAAATAAGAAATATGTGACATTCTGGGCTGAGGAGGAAGTGAGATGCCTCGGGGGCTTCAGAGGGGAGGAAGGTCATTGGCAGGACAATAAGAAGAGCAGCAGATGCTCAGTGGTTAGAAGTTTTCCCTGCCTTATAAATGGGTCAGAAGAACTATTTCTCATGATAACTCTTATTATAGACAAGGCCCTTAATTTAAATTCTTTAAGGGAGAGTTAACAGTTTCTTGGCCCATAGGGTCTTGAATATTTTCAGCTCAACATAATTCACGTGCCAAAGTGGCACCTCCTGAGGAAGTCTGTTCTGAACTCCTTCAAGTGGATGAGTGAGTGAGTGAGTGAATGAGAATTCAAAGGCCAGAACTCCTCTGTGACCTGAGGCAAATACTCCCTCTCTAAACTTTAGTCTTCTGCTCTGTTGAATGGCATAATGTTCTCTGCATCCTCTGGGCCCTGTGCTGGGGCCAAAAACATGGTCAGGATTAGCCTGCCTGCCCTCTCCTCTCAGAAGTGCTGATCTGGGAGAAGAAAGGTGTGAACAGAGGCAGATGGATACACTTTGCTTCCTCACACAACCAAAACAAGGACAACAACAAATTTAGAAATAAAAAACAACTAGAACTGCTAGGAAATTGAACTGTATGGAAGTCTGACAACCAAGGAGTTAAAGAAGAAACTCTCATTCAGACTGGCAGGAGGGGAGGGGCGGACACGGGCAGCCAGGGCAGAGAGGAAGTATGGCTGTGGCTGGCGGACCCGGTGGTCCCACATTTGCTTGCAGATAAACCAGGAGGAACAACTGGGAAGTGAGACAGACTGCTCAACCCTGGGTTCCAATACATGGAAATAAAGCCTTTTCAAAACGTCTGGCTGTGAAGACCTGTGGGAATTGTGGTGGTGGGAGAAACTCTCAGCTTCACAGGAGAGCTAGTTGGAGAGCTCTCCACAAGGTCCTAAAATGTACACAAGTCCACACACCTGGGAATCAGCAACTGAAGGGCCCAATTTGCTTATGGGAAGTGGAAGAAGTGATTGAAAGTGGGTGGAGAGCCGAGCAAGTGGCATTGTTCCCTTCTGGGCCCCTTTCCCATGTACAGCACAACTTTGAATATTTCTGGGCACCACAACCCAGCCTTGTGGGTGCCCTGCTCTGGTGAATACCTAAGGCTCTACCTCTCACAATGTAACAGGTGTGCTGAGACAAAAAAAAGAACAGATCAAAGCTCCAAAAATAGAACTAAGCAATGAAGAGATAGACAACCTGTCAGATGCAGAGTTCAAAACACTGGTAATCAGGATGCTCACAGAAATAATTGAGCATACTCACAAAATAGAGAAAGAAGTGAAAGCCATGCAAAGTGAAATAAAAATATACAGGGAACCAACAGTGAAGGGAAGGAAACTGGAACTCAAATCAATGATTTGGAGCAGAAGGAAGAAGTAAACATTCAACCAGAACAGAATGAAGAAACAAGAATTCAGAATAAATGAGGAGAGGCTTAGGAACCTCCGGGACAACTTTAAATGTTCCAACATCTGAATCATAGGGGTGCCAGAAGGAGAAGAGGAAGACCAAGAAACTGAAAACTTATTTGAACAAATAATGAAGGAGATCTTCCCCAGTCTGGCAAAGGAAATAGACTTCCAAGAAGTTCAGAGAGTCTGGAAGAAGTTGGACTCAAGGAAGCACACACCAAGGCACATCATAATTACATTATCCAAGATTAAAGATAAGGAGAGAATCTTAAAAGCAGCCATGAAAAAGGAGAGAGTTACCTACAAAGGAGTTCCCATAAGACTATCAGCTGATTTCTCAAAGAAACCTTATAGGCAGGAAGGGGCTGGAAAGAAGTATTCAAAGTCATGAAAAGCAAGGACCTATATCCAAGATTACTCTATCCAGCAAAGCTATCATTTAGAATGGAAGGGCAAATGTCTAGTTCCCAGACAAGGTAAAGCTAAAGGAGTTCATCATCACCAAGCCCTTATTATATGAAATGTTCAAGGGACTTAGCTAAGAAAAAGAAGATGATCAAAAATATGAACAGTAAAAAGGACAACAAACTCACAATTATCAATAACTGAACCTAAACAAAAACAAAGCAAACAACTAGAACAGGAACAGAATCACAGAAATAGGGTCCACGTGGAGGGTTATTGGCAGGAAGAGGTAGGAGGGAGAATGGGGTAAAAGGTATAGGAAATAAAAAGCATAAATAGTAGATACAAAATAAACAGGGGGAGGATAAGAATAGTATAGGCAATGGAGAAGCCAAAGAACTTATATGTACAAACCATGGACATGAACTAAGGGTGGGAGGGAATGCTGGAGGGTAGGGGGTATGCAGGGCAGAGGGGAATAAAGGGGAGAAAAATGGGACAATTGTAGTGGCATAATCAATAAAATATATATATTTAAAAATGTGTGAACAGAGATGCCACTATTGTGGCTGACCTAAGTGACTAAGAGAGAAGTTCAAGGACCTTCCAACCTAGACTCCAAATCTTTGGGCCCTGGGCCCTTTCTGCAGGGTTCCATGGCTGTCACACCAACAGTCTGGAGGCCTCAGAGTCACAACTGCCCAGGTCCACAGATGGTCCGTAGATGGAAGACCACAGAGAAGAAGGATACCTCGGGAACCCAGGGCAGGAAAGAGTAAGTCCCCTTCCACGGTGGTGGGAATAGGCCAAGAAAGGAGGGAGGTACCTGGCCCTGATCCCAGAGCCAGACTTAGGGCCTTCCTGTCACCATCCTTCAGGTGGGCCCAACCCATGCTCAGAGGAAAACAGAGAATTACTCAGTTAAGCCGGAATCTGTCACAGCTCCAGGACAAGTTTTTGAATTGAAATATTCACAAGCAGCAGAGACATCTGTAGGAAGAATAACTGGATGCCACATTCTGCAGGAGGCCAGACTAAATGTGTCCCATGACATCACTCTAGGGAGGAGGCTGCCAGGAGCCGTGCAAGGGCCTGGAGCAGCGCTGCAGCTGAGAGCTGCAGAGGAGGACTGGCCTGGGTTTGCTGCATGGCTCCTGGGGTCCCTGCTCTGTGAGGAAACACTTTGCTGGCCCCTGGCTCATGGAAATGTTGTCTGCCCACCTCTCTGTGCCAGTCTAGTGTGGGGAGATGCCTTTCTTCTGCCCAGCTTTCTGATTCCCTGTGGGTCTCCTCCTGAGCACCAGCAGGTCTTCAGTTAACCTGCAGCCAGTGGGTGTAGAGGGGGGATTCTGAAAGTCATGTGACATCTTGGAGAAGCCCTGACAACCCTGGAGCATAGAGATTCCACTAAAGTCCGAACAGGCTGTGCCTGAGTTTCAGCTGGAGCAACGTTCCCTGCATCCAGACCCTGCGACGGGGAAGAGGGTGGAGCGTCCTATTGTGCACATGGGCAGTGTTTCAGGGATGTGCATCTGCACACTTGCCCCTACCCTGTGTACACACACGGGCAGCCCTGGGTGCACACCTACCATACACGGGCACCGCAGGCACAGGTCCCTACAGAAACGCGTGCCCCAGCTGTGAGTCTGTAGAGCAGTGAGTGCACATGCACTCAGGGTAGGTGGTCTCCGGTGTGTCTGAAGAGACCTCTGGCTCTTCCGAGGTTTGCTTCCTGGTGTCTACTCTCTGGTTTCCTGTCCTCTTCTCCCTGAGTTAGCTGGTGCCTGCACCGAGGGAGGACCCCATGCACTGTATGTACATAGGGTTGGGCTGCTGGAGCACTGTCCTTGGTGCTGGACAACTAGTGGGACGCGCATATTTTGAGAACAGGCAGGAGTGCTGGGAAGAGGTGACCTTGAAATCCAGGTGTATCTATACTTCTTTCCAAAGAATGTGCAACCAGGCTTCCTCTTTTCAGTCACAGACACAGGGACAGAAGGTGTCCAATCCCTCAGCCAGCAGTGTGTCCATTTGTGGCTCTGCTGACCGAGTGGCCATTTACTGTAGCTGTGAGGTGCCACATAAGGTTGTGTATAAGGATTATCATTGTCTGTGTCCTCAGAGACACCTGTGATTCCTTGTGGCTTCCTGTGACCTCATGTGACCTCAGTGAGCATACTGTGATTACATGGAACCCCCTCTGACCTTGGGTGGCCTCAGAGCCAATCTTCCCACAGGGAAACTAGAAGGACAGCAATCCCCAGAAGGTCTGGGCACTGTCTAGTGCCTAGCTAACCCCTTTGCTAGAGACTAGAAAAACCTCACCCTGCTCTTTCCTCACTGCCTTGCAGACTTGGCACCCAGAGAATCCCGGTGTCCGCAAAGTCCGGTCTTCAAAGAGGTCTGCATCAGCCGGCAGCGGCCCACAGGCACGTGTGCCTCCTAAGACAGGTGACCGTGACCCCTCTGCAACGTGAGCCTGCCCAGCTATAAAAGCCAGAGTCGCGCGAGGTAAGAGTCGCGCTCACCCCAGGAGCCGCGTGGGGTAGACGCGGTGTCACGGTCCCGCGCTGGCCGCCAGTGCGCCCCTCTTCTGCCGGTTTCTGCAGAACGCCGGCTCCTGACGTTGGGGCCAGGGGCGGAGACGGCTGGTCCGCTCTGTGGCCAGGCCCCTCCCGCGCCGGGGCCTGGTGGTTCAGCGGCTCCTGCGAGCTCGGGTCGCCCCCCCCCCAACGGGGACAAGACCAGGGCTGGTGGGGGCACCAGCGCCTAGAGCGCGCCGCGCCCTCCCCCTCCCGCGGAGACTCCGCCGCTGCACGGGGAGGGGGCGCTGGGGAGCAGGGGGCGGGGGCTAAAAATACCCGGCGGCGGCGCTGCGACTGCTGGGGCTGCGGAGCCGCGGGGCTGTGGCCCGAAGAGGCAGTACCGGGCCAGGCCGGCCCGCTGCCGGACATGCTGACCTTCTTCCTCATATCAGGGGGCTCTCTCTGGCTGTTAGCGGGTAAGTTTCTCCCTGCCCTCGTCTGTTACCCCCAACCCTGGCACAACGTGGGGGTCTTGATCCTGAATGGGGGTGAACCCCCAGCCTCAGCTGCCAAGCTGTCCCTTCAAGCCCTGTTCCCCGGAGCCGCCCAGGTGACCACCCCCTCAAATTCCGGGGGGCTCTGGGCGGGTTTGGGAAGCAGCCTGTGGGTCTGCAGAAATGAGGGGCCTTGTTCTCTGCGACCCCACAACAACCTCCCTCTGGTTCTCGTACCCATACTTGCCCCGGGGTTGAGGACTATTCACTGATCAGACTAGGCCCTGAGCCCATCCGTCTTCCAAGGCCAAGTTCAGGGACAGACTTAGTACATCCTTGCCTATCTCTGGGGCCCGGAGACTGAGGGTGTTGGTCCCATAGGGCCCGCAGCAGGTCCACAGTGTAACCAGGACTGACCCAGACTTCCTGATCTCGGTACGGGGGTCTCTGGGTCTCCTCACAACTCCTCCCTGCTCACCCCTCAGCCAGAATGCAAGGTTTCTGTAAATCAGGGGCCCTTGGCTCCTCAGCTTCACCCAGCGCTTGTGTCCCCATCCCCCTTCAGGAGGCACCCTTCACCCCAGGTCTCTCAGGAGGCGGTGAGGGCAGGCCCTCCCCTCCCCGCACAGCCCCTCACCAGCCAGTGCCTCGGCCTGCTCTGCGCTACTCCACTGAGGGGTCTCTGCCCCCCCACTCCCCCCACCCCCCGTGGGCAGATTCAGCCTGACAGTGTAGGTGAAATGCCTGTACCGCAAACTGGACCTGCCCAGAGCACACGCTCTGTGAGTGTTCGTGTTTACTAGTTTACGTTCAAATAGCAGCATCAGAGGAGGTAATACGGTTCTTTTTGAGCCAAAGAAGGGGGAGAGTCAACCCTTTTGGAATCCTACCTGAAACTTGGCCTGTTATTTATTATTCACAGAAAATCCTAACAGGTTGCTGGGCTTTCCCCTTTTTACTAACGTGAGGTTAATTGACTTGTCCAGTGTCACGTGGATAATACCTGGCAGACAGGGTTCCATCTGAGGTTTTAACTGATTTTTCTTTGATAAGTGCTTGGTGGTATTAGGCCTGAAATCAGAAAGCTGAGGGGCCAGGTCTTCATCCCTCCCACCCACCACCCAGTGCCCTGAGTCGGGCCCCAGGGACACTTCCCCTGAGCAGGGGTGGGCAGGCCTCTCTAATCCCCTTCTCTCCCTAAGCTCCTTCCGTCTGCCAGTGCTCAGGGCCCGTCTGCCAGTGTCCATGCAGGCCACTCCAGGCCTGATGTGCTCCTGAGGCAGGCAAGGTCAAGGCTGGAGCTGGGGTCAGGGGCTGTCACTCAAATGAGGGTTATGGAATCAACCCCTACTTGCTGCTGGGTGACAGGGCCTTTCTCCAGAGTCAGGACCCCTCAGCCCCACCCGTGGGAGGCCCCCACCCAGCTGGAGGTTGAAGGGCAGCTCTCGGGAGCCTCGGTTGTCTGTGGCTCGGGGAAGTATCTGAAGGCTACGGGCCGCACATGCCAGAAGGCTTCAACAGCCTGTGAAGTACAGCCCTCAAGCTCCGGGTCCCCGTCTGAAATCAAGGTTCAGCAGGCACCGACTCAAACTGGCCTGTCCTGCTCTGTGGTGGAGCATTTCCTAGAGGGCTCAGGGGCCTCCCCGAATGGGGAGGTTGCCCACTGAGGGGCTGTGCGGGGGCCTTGGAGGGGTCAACTCCTGTGCAAGTGGCAGCTGCCTCCATGGGGGCCAGACTTCTCTATGCAGACAGGAATTTCCTCAAAGATGCCACACTTGGCCTAAGACACTGAGGCTGGTATGTGCCATTCATTGGAGAGAACGCCCCAGACACACACTGGGGCATTCCCAGATCACGTGTCTGCTTTGCTGGGGTCTTTGCTTGGGCCCCAGCCCTTCTCCGGGGGCAGAGGGGCTCCTGAGATAAAACTGAGAACACAATCTGCCATGCTGCTGCCACAGCCCTTTGGCTCAGACAGAACAGAAGACCCTTAAGGTGATGTCACCCTTCAGTAGAGTTATGTGCTTTTCGCCACATTATCTGGCCCTAGAGAGTCAAGGACTGCCTTCAAGGGGCCACAGGGAGAGAATGACAGATGAGAAGGGTGGCAGGGAGCTGGCTGGAGGAGGAACTGACTGCCCAGGAGAGGCAGCCATGTGCTCTGAGCCCTCGAGAGCAAGCGCTGTCCCGCTCCCCCACTGTGTAGGCCAGCCCACCGCCCACCTGTGTGTTGACTAGTCAACAAGGACACAGGTAACAGGGCCAGCACGAGTCAGATGCAGTGCCTGGTCTCAGTGCTGTCAGCACTCAGGGGACCATGGCAGGGTGGTCTGATGCTCTGCCTGCCTACATGGCACCATCGTGCGAAGCTGATAAATTTCCAAGAGGGCACCCCTTCCTCCAACTGATGCAGCCTCATGCCCTTGTACAGGGTCCAGTCTGCTCAGCCATATACCTGGCCAGCAGGGACAACTGAGTGGACTTCTGTAGCACAGAAGGATGTTTGTCAAAAGTAGAGAGGCCAAACTCCAGGTAGAAGTCAGGCCAGCAAAGGTGTGCAGGAAGAACCATGGTGAGGGGTGGGTCTTCAGGGTCTTGTGACTGGGGAGCCAAAGTTGTGGGTGGAGAATGGAGTCTGGGTAGAAGCGGGGCCCTGGCTTTCATTTAGGGGCAGATAAGCCCTCAATGTAGCTGTGGTGGCCAGGCAAGCCAGAGGAGCAGAGTGCAGTCTGGGGGAGCAGCAGGAGGCTGTTGTGATGTGCACGAGACTAGATGTGGCCCAAGGGTGGCCCATTTGAGGCTGAGCCCCAGGAAAGGAGAGGTAGGAGGCCCAAGTATGACCCTGGGGGTGGCCCTGGTAGCAGAGTCTGGTGTGGCAGCCCTCTGGCTGTAGGTGTCCAGGACAGGTGCAGACTTGCACAGCCTGGCTCAGCTTGGCCCTATCAGCTCTTCCCCTGACCCTCAACCCCACAAGGGTGGAGAACTGGTGTGATGTCTGGGACCATGCCAGGGGTCCCAGGAAAGCAGCTAGGACCTTGATGGATGGTGGAGCTCGAAGCAGAACAGCTGAGGATATGCCTGGCCGAAGAAAGCCTGAATTTGCACAGGGTACACCACTCTGTGGGAGAATCCTGACCTCAGCACCTTTTCACCCCCCCCACCCCCTACCCGCCCAGGCCTGTGGTAGGATACAGGGAGATCCCAGTGAGAGCACATGGACACCAGGGGGCAGCAGAGCCAGGCCATTCTGCTCTCAGGCTGGTTTTCTGTTCCTTGGGATTGTAGGGGCTCGAGGTTGACCTTCGAAGGCTGAATTTGGCTCAGCTGCAGCCCTGGTTGGCACCCCAGGCTGTCCCCTGCACACGGCAAGCAGGATAAGAGAGCATGACGCTCTGGCTTATTTACAAAAAGAGGCAAAAGTTATAGGTGTTTGTGTAGTAGAAACTGCACTGTGTGAGCTTCTGTGGGAGGCACTCAGCTGTCCACTGAATGAAGCGCTGTGGGTGCGGGAAAGTTTCCTTTACGGCTGAAGTGCTGCAGACAGGCTGACTTGGCTGCTTATTCCCTGAGCACCTTCCACGTGTGAAGCACTGTGCTCTATTACGCCCCAAGCTCCCCTTCAGTCTTCCCCCAGCGCCGTCATGCTGTCGGCCCCTTTGAATAGATGAGGCACTAAGACACGGGGAGGTTCGGTGTGAAACAACTCCTTGGTGCTGTGAGCTAGATGCCATTCTCAGACTTCAGTCCAGGGAGGGGCCACTGGGCATGATCAGGTAGCATCTGAGCCCCTCCGCAGGCTGTCTGTGGTCACGGACCGGGAGGGTTAAGAGAGGATGGGTGTGATGTGCCAAAAGCAGGGGCTGGCACATTGGAAAGGAGTCACTGAGTGTCAGCTGAAGTTATAACAGCGTGTGCTGGGCCTTCTTGAAAGAGGGTGTAGGACTCTGATGTGGAGAGAGAGAGTAAGGAAAGAAAAGGCATTCCAGGCGGATGGACCTGCGTGAGGAAAGGTTGGCAGTAGGACCTGTGGAGATCAAGGAACATACTCTGCCTGACCAGTGAAGTCGCCAGTGCTGGGCTCTGCAGGCTCTGGAACGCCGGGCAGCACGGGCTCGGTTCTGTGTGGTGGTGGCATCAATGACCACAGCCCAAACTGGGCATGCAGATGGCCAAGGTGACACTGTCACTGTCCCTGTGCTCTGCAAGCCACATGTATCCCCTGGTGGCACACCTTCTACTGAACTACAGTGTTTGGCCTCCCCCACTAGCCCTTTGACCTTCTTGAGGGCAGGGTCCAGATGCCTGCTCTCTGTATCTCAGCCCGGGCACACAGAATGAGTCCGTGTTACTGCACCCATGAGCAATACAGACAGTTCCCCGAGAAACGTTTGTTTTGTTTTATTTGTTTATTTTTTAGGTAGATGCTAAAATTTCTTTTTTGCTGTGGTTCTATTACAGTTGTCCCAATTTTCCCCCATTGCCCTCCCCTTCCCTACCCACAGTCAATCTCCACCCTGTTGTCCATGACCATGGGTCATTTATACTTGTTTTTTTAACTATGCCCTTCCCCTTCTTTCCTCCCTTATTTCCCTTGCCCTTCCCCTCTGGTCACTCTCAGTTTGTTCCTTATTTCCATGCCTCTGGTTATATTTTGCTTTCTTGTTTTGTTGATTAGGTTCCACTTATAGGTGAGTTCATCTGGTATTTGCCCCTCACTGCCTGTCTTATCGCACTTAGCACAATGCTTATCTCCAGTTCCATCCATGCTGCCTCGTAGGGTGGGAGCTCCTTCTTTCTTTTTGCTGCATAGAATTCCATTGTGTAAATGAACCACTGTTGTTTGATCCACTCATTTACTGATGGGCACTCAGGCCGTTTCCAGCAGTTGGCTATGGTAAATTGTGCTGCTATGAACATTGAGGTGCATAGGTTCTTTAGAATTGGTTTTTCAGGATTGTTAGGGTATAGTCCCAGCAGTGGAA